TTCAGGTTGTATAGCTTTTGTTTAGATGAAAGAAGAACAAAGAAGTATTGTTTAGAAATCTGTAGGATACTAAAATTCGATAAATACAGACAAGTATAAGAGTGTCGGTTGTTCTGCTGTGTCCTGTTAAATTGTCAGTGTATGTAACTGAATGTACAGTATGTTAACAGCTCGCCATCTAGTGGCCATAAATGAAAAGTGCAGAACACCTCCTTCTGAAATAAATCAAGACTGAAGTTATAGAAAGCACTGATTCTGTTGTTGTAATAGGACGGTGCAAGTTGTCACACATTTTACTTAAGTGAATTTTTCCTAAGGTAGATTTAGTTTCTGTAACCACATGCTGTAACCTAAACATGTTTATGCTTCATTGTTTATGTCTAACAGATTAAATTATATTCACCGGGGCTTCTCAGATATTCATTAACATTTAGACTGTACAATTGTTACTGTAACAGTAGTCTCAACAAATATGGCAAACTGACTCATAAAAATAGTAGACATACTAAATAGTAAGTAGCCTACTGTAGTACAGTACACAATCCAAAATTATGGACAATTAGACATAAGCAAGCGTTTTCTTATGAGATTTTATTTTTATACAATTTTTAGGTCAAGCCATATTTCACGTTCTACAGAAATATAGATCAGTATTACTATTGAAATAAATGTACATTCAGAACCTCTCGTCTATGTGCCAGACATTAGAAATGTGTTGTATGTGCATTTGCTTGTGCATGTGTGTGCTTGTGTGTCAGTGTTTGTGCAGCATTTTGTAGGTACATGGTGGTTTTTCATGCAAAGCGTAGCAGTGAGTATTGCTTAAGACTAAACTACACCATAAGTACAGACTTCAAGCCTGAGCCAACTAAAACAGGGTCCATCTGTCAAGTTTGTCTTTGGAATAGACTGATTTGCACAATCGTTACAACCTAAACTAAGCACATGTAACAATTTAACCCATTGTGTGACCCTGATGACCTTTATAGTAATGGACAAGCAACTACAGCCACTGAAGTCTATGAACAGACAGCGCTGTTCTCCTACGTGTCAGCTGGGGGTACATTACAGCCTAACACATGCTTAGATTTACAAAACTAGCACTATATGCCTGATGAAAATGAATGAATATAGCAACTGACTCATAGCAAACAACCTGCCTATCTGGCAGTTGTGACCTGACATCTGAATATTAATACCAGATTTTGTAAAAATAATACAGCATTAAGTCGGCACATTGAAATATCAGCTACCATGGGCAGTCTCCACATATACAGTCTAGTCAGTACAGTTTATATAGGATTATGGATCACTGAATTTGAAAAAAATATTCAAGTTATAACGTCCACTGACGTATATGGAATGATGCTATTGCATTGCGGCACAAACACTCCAATGGCATCACCTGAGCACAAATCAATAAATAAAAACAACAACTTTGTCATGATGATTAAAAGAACATACTCTGTGCCTGCATCCAGTGTGAAATCTGTTCATTCAGCACAGTCTGACTCCTTCCTGTGTCTCCCAGTCAGTTTCTCTCGGAAGTGCTCTGTAATCCAAGTGGCAGATGGTAGTTTTCATTACATTTCAGGTTGTATAGCTTTTGTTTAGATGAAAGAAGAACAAAGAAGTATTGTTTAGAAATCTGTAGGATACTAAAATTCGATAAATACAGACAAGTATAAGAGTGTCGGTTGTTCTGCTGTGTCCTGTTAAATTGTCAGTGTATGTAACTGAATGTACAGTATGTTAACAGCTCGCCATCTAGTGGCCATAAATGAAAAGTGCAGAACACCTCCTTCTGAAATAAATCAAGACTGAAGTTATAGAAAGCACTGATTCTGTTGTTGTAATAGGACGGTGCAAGTTGTCACACATTTTACTTAAGTGAATTTTTCCTAAGGTAGATTTAGTTTCTGTAACCACATGCTGTAACCTAAACATGTTTATGCTTCATTGTTTATGTCTAACAGATTAAATTATATTCACCGGGGCTTCTCAGATATTCATTAACATTTAGACTGTACAATTGTTACTGTAACAGTAGTCTCAACAAATATGGCAAACTGACTCATAAAAATAGTAGACATACTAAATAGTAAGTAGCCTACTGTAGTACAGTACACAATCCAAAATTATGGACAATTAGACATAAGCAAGCGTTTTCTTATGAGATTTTATTTTTATACAATTTTTAGGTCAAGCCATATTTCACGTTCTACAGAAATATAGATCAGTATTACTATTGAAATAAATGTACATTCAGAACCTCTCGTCTATGTGCCAGACATTAGAAATGTGTTGTATGTGCATTTGCTTGTGCATGTGTGTGCTTGTGTGTCAGTGTTTGTGCAGCATTTTGTAGGTACATGGTGGTTTTTCATGCAAAGCGTAGCAGTGAGTATTGCTTAAGACTAAACTACACCATAAGTACAGACTTCAAGCCTGAGCCAACTAAAACAGGGTCCATCTGTCAAGTTTGTCTTTGGAATAGACTGATTTGCACAATCGTTACAACCTAAACTAAGCACATGTAACAATTTAACCCATTGTGTGACCCTGATGACCTTTATAGTAATGGACAAGCAACTACAGCCACTGAAGTCTATGAACAGACAGTGCTGTTCTCCTACGTGTCAGCTGGGGGTACATTACAGCCTAACACATGCTTAGATTTACAAAACTAGCACTATATGCCTGATGAAAATGAATGAATATAGCAACTGACTCATAGCAAACAACCTGCCTATCTGGCAGTTGTGACCTGACATCTGAATATTAATACCAGATTTTGTAAAAATAATACAGCATTAATTCGGCACATTGAAATATCAGCTACCATGGGCAGTCTCCACATATACAGTCTAGTCAGTACAGTTTATATAGGATTATGGATCACTGAATTTGAAAAAAATATTTATAAAATAAAATAAAATAAAAGTTATAACGTCCACTGACGTATATGGAATGATGCTATTGCATTGCGGCACAAACACTCCAATGGCATCACCTGAGCACAAATCAATAAATAAAAACAACAACTTTGTCATGATGATTAAAAGAACATAAATATGAAATGTTCTGCTTTAAAGTTTCCCTCTTCAGATGAGATCACATTGAGCAGTAGACAAAAGGCTTTGGGAGTCCGTGCTGCAGTTATTGTTCGACTCGTGATTGTCTGGTAATATCGGTGAGATACATACATCAGCAGGGGCACCCTTGTGGTTTCTGGGCCCCCTGAACAGCATATTGACTCGGGCCCCCTCTCCCTGGTTGCGCCCTTGGATTCATCCTAACCTCCCCCCACCCCCATTATGGAGCCCGTGTACATCAGCAGGTGTGCAGCTTTTACATTCAGTTACATTTACGTCCCAATTATATGAGACAAAAGATACAATCTTAAGCAAAATTAAGTTGTATAAAATTCAGTTGTAAAAGATGAAGCAGGAACCCTTTCCTTTACCGTGCTTGTGAGACAGTAAAAACATCTTTCACTGAGGCTCATTTGCTTAAACACATCAAATACTTTTATCTGTAAAAGGAATGAGAGTTAAAGTATTTGGAATGGTCAGTGACAAACTGCATTTTGTAACAAAGCATTACATTTAAAAACATATCTCTGTGTAAGGGAGTCATGTAAAATGTGTGAATGAATAATTAATGTTAATTCAAATTAATATGCATTTTTAATTTTGCTGATGTGTTTTACACATGGATAAAAGGATTTTAAAATACACTACCGTTCACAAGGTTGGGGTTGGTAAGACATTTTATGTTTTTGAAAGAAGTCTCTTGTGCTGAATTTATTTGATCACAAATGCAGTAAAAACAGTAATACTGTTAATTATTATTACCAGTTAAAAGAACTGGTAATAATAGGCAAGGCTGAAATTTCAGCATCATTACTACAGTCTTCAGTGTCACATGATCCTTCAGAAATCATTCTAATATGCTGATTTGCTGCTTGTAAAACATTTATTATTAATATCATTATTATTATTATTATCAATGTTGAAAACTCTTTTTCTGCTTAAAATTGTTGTGAAAATTGTAATTCATTTTTTCAGGACCCTTTGATGAATAGAAAGTTCAAAAGAACAGCATTTATTTAAAAACAAACTTTACAGTTACTTTTGATCATTTTAGTGCATCCTTGCTGAATAAAAGTACTTTTATTTATTATTATTATTATTTTACACACACACACACACACACACACACACACAAATAAATCCTACTGACCCCAAAACTTTTGAACATCAGAGTAGATTTGTAGGTCAAAAATGACATTTGGATTTATATTTCAGTCTCCATGGAGAAACAAATGAAAGGTGAAAAACTCATTATACTATGGATTAGTTTTGTTAAACAGTGCAGTAAGAAACTAAAATGTGCTTTGTTTTTCCAATGATTCGCTCTCCATTGTGGAATAAGCTGCCCTGCCTCACAGACCCTCCATAATACACCAATCATTCATTCTGTCTGCTGGAGCCCAAATCAATCATTTCTACATCAGACGATACTTCAGGCCATTCTAATCTCATTCTGTCTTGGCACGAAAAGAATATCTGATAAATTTAATAGCAAGTGGCAAACAGACACAGCAATGCATGCCACGGAAATCACTGGTTATACATAGCAGATCATCGCACAGCAAAGGTCAGATTAATCTTAATTTGAAATTGCTTAAAAAAAATACACCAGTGCTGCTAAAAACATTAATGAAGATCTTTTGCACTGAATTGCACAGTATGCCGTTCAAGCTAAAAAGAAAAGTAGTAAAAGACGAGAATAGATAGATTTAGGAATATTTCTGTAATTCCGTTTTTGTCTTTTTCCCTGCTTGTGGTGCTAGAAATGGTTCAACATCAGGCAGTTCAAGCTGCTATAACCTTTCAAAATCCCTTACATGCCTCATTTTGAGGGCGTTTGTGCTGATTAGTCATTTTTACTATTAATTCATAAGGACTCAATGTGTATGACAGATCACTGATGGATTATGGATCATTCCTGTTAATATTGAAGCTATTTTTCAATATTCCAACCATAGAATTAAAGCCTTCAGAAAAAATAAATCAAGCCATTACATTTTATGTGTTATTATGAATTTTATCTTCATGACACCTTCATTTAAGGTTTGTAAACAGCAGTGTCATTATTGTTGACTAATTATTTTCATTAATTGAAATAAAGCTGAAAAAATAGGTGAAAAACATAATTAATTTGAATAAAAATGAGAAATGTTGCCTTGGGAACTAACTGAAATAAGCTTAAGTACTAAAATTATTATAACTAAAACTGAAATAAAAATGAATGAAAACTAAATAGAAACATAAAAAACTATCAAAATATCATAAGAAAATTGCAATAACCAAAATTAAAATGAAAACTCATCACACAGTTCTCCCAATCAACTTTCATCCTGGCACAGCAGTTCATTTCACATTCAGAAAATGCACTAAATCTTTCAAAACCCTTCATACATCTCTAATCAAGTCTAACACCTGTATAAGCATTCAGTTACATCTAATTGTTTTGACAGGATTTCATTTTTTTGGATTTAGAATACATTTCAATATGGTATTGCTGTAGTAATGTAGCAAATTTCTGTCTTATTCAGTTCTGTTAACTGAACTTTAACAATTTTGAAAAGATTATGGCAAACATGCAAATTGACCAGTAGATACATAGACTTGTGGTGGTGGTTGTGTCTAAATGAGAAAATATGTAATGTAATTTGGAAGATATAGTCACTGAATGCATTTTTTGCCAAAGCAATAGCTTTGTGCTCACTATGTGAAGAGTTTTAAAAAGTGACCAAAGAAGTGAGAAATTGGTCCTAGTGACTGTAAAAACTGTAATATACTGTATTCATAGTCACAGAGGCAGGTGGCACCATGATGTTGTCAGCTAATAATATAAACTTAATGAGAAACAGTGACATGGTATGTGCTCATGGGTGTGTGTGTGTGTGTGTGTGTGTGTGTGTGTGATTTTATACCATCAGTGATTAGGGCTCTGCTGGTCAAAATCCTTCCCAGCATGAACTTGACAACAGCAAGAATGACACACACGAGGCCACTGACGATAGAAACGCTGAACAGGAAGTCATCCTAGCAGAGAGACAGACAGTAACAGACAGAAAGAAGAATTGTTCACAGTAGAAATGATGCAGGGTACATATGGTTGAATCATAAACTGGGAGGGGGGCACAGGCAATACCATCATGGAGATATTAAAGTCAGAATTCTTAAAGGCCTGTGAAAGTAAAAGAGGGATAAAAGTAACAATATCAATGGGACTTTCAGTTATGTCTAGTTGGCTCTTGAGGAGATACAGAGATGAAGTGCAGTTCATTTTAAGCACAAGTGAAAAGTAGCCAACTTAATATTTAATAAGGAATCGAAAACGCATAAGAGGGTTAGACTAGATTAGATACAAAGACTAAATATGAAGACACACAAACTGATTTACACAACAAACATGATGGCTTTAAGTACACAAAAAAATAACAAGTTAACAGAGCTATTCTAATAGCTGTGGAAAATGAACACGTGTGTATCAGAATATGGACATTTTTCAGAAAATATGTAAACATACATGGTCAATGAAACTGACCACAAAAGCTTTATCACAAAGCTTCACAATAAAAAGACATGACAAGATGAAAAAAACAAAGACACATGAAAACAGATCTCCAAACGAAGCACCAAGAAAAGGGAAAACAAAAGGTACATAAATAGCTATTACAAATAATAGAAAGGCATAAATGACTCGTATCAATCCTGAGGACATTTTCAGGTGCATCATAGATGAACTACAGCTGTTTTTGTTTCTTTTGCTTTTCTCTTTTCTCTCCAAACTAAGAATGTCTGCTTTCCACCCACACAACATCCAGAAGCACTTCTCCAACATTTCTAATAAGACAGTTTGTTCAGAGACCTTCATCTCCGAGGAACAGCTGAGAGACAAAGAATGTGTTTAAATTCAGACTTTCATCTTTTAAGCTGACTGGCTTGTTAAGACTGACAATTTGGATTAATTGGACCACACAGTTTTCAGTAAGGCCACCTTAGAGATTCAGAGTGATGGGTGCTGACATGAAGAGTCCAGGTCTAATGAATGTGGAACTGCAGGGCGATAGAATGAAAAAATGCACATTAAAGAATGTGGAAGCCCACTTCTGAATCATCCATCCTAATGCAACAGGAGAGGGCCGACAGGACAGATGGCTTACGGCCAGCACAATTCCATCATTAAAGCTGCTGCAGTGATGTTTCATTAGCACTTATGGGGTAAAACAAGGCTTGAATGAACCTCTTTTTTTTTCGGTTTCGGTTCGTTTTATTTCTCTCCGAATTGGCTCTGTGTGTGTGCCCATGAGTTCACGTGCAGAGATAAGGAAACGCCTCTCTGCTTATAATGTGCATTTGATAAAGCAACACATGCAAAAAACATCTTCCGCTGTAATGACTTCCAATGAGAAGCGTTTTTAAACCTGTTGTCCAACAAAAGAGAACATTAGGCAATAGCATACTCCAAAACATCAGTCGAATGTTTGAAATAACTTCCTTTTGTGATCTGATGTGGATTCTTATGACAGAATGAGGTGGAAAATATATTCTTTACTGTAAAAAGGTATCTAATATCGATTAGCAATGGATTACAAATATACTTAAAATACCTAAGCTGGCTTGAAGAACACAGATAACTATATTGTCGAAGTCGAGTGTTTATTGTCTTTATGTTTCATCATTCAAAACATTTACCTTTTTTTATGCGGTTACAGGAATAGCTGGATGCCTTTGTCCATATATGGGATTTCCTGGAATATCCTTGGTTCTATTATTTCTGAGATACACATATCTATGGTGATGCATATGGGGAGTTTCTGCGTGAGGGCGCCCTCCAGATTCCAGTATAAATAAAACATACATTGCATGTGTTTATAGCTCTCTATAATGGCCAATCCATCCTATTTTGGATAAAAATAGGAAAAATAATACTTCTCTCAAAAGAAATTTTAAGTAGAAATATAATAATCCATGTCCTTCTCCAGTGTACAGGAGTTTTTTATTGTTAATTTTTATTTTATTTTTTAAATCGCATTTAAATTGCAAAAAAACACTGAACTGAAACTAAAAACTAGTATGTATTGTATTGAACTATCAATACATCGAAGTATGTATTGAACCGTGGACTAACTGTATTGTCGCATCCCTAATATATATATATATATATAAATAAATAAAATAATATATTATATATAAAGAGAGAGAGAGTAAATTAGTACATACTGTCAGGGTTCTGTCACTTCGGTCTCGTCTGTGTGTGCGCGTGCTTTGCACGTGTGCGGCAGAACTGAAGAGATGCTGCGTGAGATGCGGCTTGTGTGCGCGCTTCAGGTGTGAGTCAGACAGCAAGATGAGACAGCAAAGAGTTGTTTTCTGCAACTTATTAAACTTAACTCTTTTTTAACATCAAGCAATTCTCTGCTATATGCATCGAACTAAAACTTTGACCTTTTGCAACGTTTTGATTTAAGTAGCTTATTATTAAAAATTCAGATATCGCATGCCCTTGCGATATGCATATTGATTCAGGTGTGAGTCAGACAGCAAGATGAGACAGCAAAGAGTTGTTTTCTGCAACTTATTAAACTTAACTCTTTTTTAACATCAAGCAATTCTCTGCTATATGCATCGAACTAAAACTTTGACCTTTTGCAACGTTTTGATTTAAGTAGCCTATTATTAAAAATTCAGATATCGCATGCCCTTGCGATATGCATATTGCGATACTTACATTTGCGATATTTCGATAATTGCAATATATGTATATATATATACATGCATAGCCACGTGTATAGCCATTTTTTCTCTCTTTCATTCTTTCTGCCTTCCTTAAATTTTTCCTCACTCTCCAGACCTGGATATCAGTTAACATATTGTTGGTAGAGGATCATAAAAAATAATGTTCAGCAATGTCACAGCAGGGATGTATCAGTGCTCAGAGATTTATCAGCAGAGATTTTAAGGTGTGAAGATGACTGTACACTATATCTATTTGTTTAACTCACCATCTATTATATTCACCTTAAAATAAATAATACAAACTATAAATATGATACACTGCCATTGAACTCACCACTTCAGGAAGAAGTTTGGTGGCCAGATCATGGATGGCCTTACCCAAAATACACATTGATGACAAGATGAATATCACACCCAGGATCACACATGCTCTGTTGATGGAGAAAGCAGAAAACATATGCTGATAAAATAATCCATTTAATCAAATCTCAGGCAGTTTTATTAGTTTATATGTTTTTGAGTTTATATGATTTGAGTTACTTTATCATTCAAATGTTTGGGGTCAGTAAGATTTTTTAAAAGATATTAATACATTATTCAGCAAAGATACAGTACATTGATTAAAAGAGACAGTAAAGCCATTTATTAAGTTACAAAAGATTTGCATTTTAAATAAATGTTCTTTTGAACTTTCTATTCATCAAAGAATCCTGAAAAACGTCACCGTATTAACTTTTTAGAAATAAAAATAATAATTGAAATGCTTCTTAAGCACCAAATCAGCATATTAGAATGATTTCTAAAGGATCAAGACTGACACTGAAGACTGGAGTAGCTGCTGAAAATCACAAAAATAAATCACATTTTAAAATATATTTAAATTGATAGCAGTCATTTTAAATTGTAATAGTATTTTACAATATTACTGTTTTAATTTATTTTTGTACAAATAAATACAGCATTGGTGAGCATTAGAGACTTCTTTAAAAACACATTTTACAAATCTTACCAACCCCCAATGTTTTAATGGCAGTGAATATTTTTTTGTTGCTGATGTTGATTCAAGGCTGAAGCAAGAACATTGACAGTTTCACAAAGGTGCACCTGGGGAACACTGGCCTCAACTGATTTAACAAATGATTTGTTTTTTATAGTAAACCTGCAGAAACCTGATCTTCTCTGAAAAATAAGAAAAGTGCCCACAATACATGTTCAGATTCCCTGTAAGACAAGCGGCCACCGGTTCACCTACAGAGACCTGCAATTCTTCTCTAGTATTGGATTATAAATCTCCCTTTCTGACACATCGACCAGAGAAATGAAATTCACAAGCCCCCACAGACTGAGGATGAAACCAGCAGCACAGGCCTTTATCAACATAATACGTCTCGAATTGAGAAAGACAGAAACAAGGCAGATCGCTCAACAAATCTGATAAATCGAACATGTTTAGACTTAAAAACATGTTGCACTGAATGTTGGTAGTCAAAAGAGAAAAGATTTTGTGTCCTACCATGCTCCACCACAATCCCAAATGTACTAGCTTTACTAAGAATAGCACTGACAGTGAAATGTTGACTTATATTTTAAAATGTTTGGAATGTATTTTTTTAATGTTGGTCACAAAGGAAGCATTATTCATCATTTTTAGTGATTTGCTGCAGGTTCAGTGCCCTACATACTACAGACAGCTCATCTTTTGTTTACTTACATGTATTCTCTATGGGCAGAGTGCACCGCTGCAGCATTGCTATAGCGCCACAGCACTATAATGGAGGAAAGAACATCTAACGTCGCGTCAAACTGAAAAACAACAGTGATTCATCAGTGCTATAAAAATAAAAACTGTCACAAACTTAGGTCCAGTGATAGACTAATGAACCAGTTCCAGAGCTGCCCTGAGCACAAGAATGTAATGAATGCAAATGTAATAAATCAAAAACAAAACCTGCATCATAAAAAATATCCTTTAAAGCAGCTCATCATCCTTTTGTTCCCAGTGTCATTAGCAATCATCTTTCATATCTTACGTTAGGTGTGTGGATATGCTTAACACGGACACCATTTAAATAATATTTACACATAGCTTGACGAGTGAACATAAAGCAGAAACAAATTCACACTTTTCCAGACATCTTTGCCTAAAAATAACATGTAATTCATTAACACTGAAGATTATACTTACGGCAAATCCAAAAGCTGATGCACTGTGTCTCATGAAGGATACAGCTATGGGGGAGAACAAAACAAGAGAGAAGAAGAAGAGAGAATGATGTATCTGTATTTATATATTACATCACAAATAATACACAGTACAGCACTTTGCAACACTAACTAATGTAAAGGAGCTTCTGATGGATATTAAGCTGTTTCTAACAGTGACTACGTCTATCATTCTGAACATTAAATTAAAAAATCGCACAGTATCAGCATTGCTTTTTGAAAATGGTACAATGACAATACTAGGTATTGAGCACATAAATATTATCTGTATTATATAATATGTATTATTCTATTATTTTCTATTCTATACCACAGTATATTTAAGGGAAAACGAGTCACACAAAAAATGTATTTCACATCAAAAACAATTATAAAATAGTAATAATATAATATAATATAATATAATATAATATAATATAATATAATATAATATAATATAATATAATATAATATAATATAAGCCAAAAGCTGGAACAGGAAAGCTAGAAAAACATTATAAATGGAATAAAACATTGTCTGAAACACTGTTGTCTTTTGAACAGACAAAATCACAGACAGTCAAGAGAGGGCAACAGACAAACTGCTGTTGGAAAGTCTGGTGAGGGGATTGTAACATCAGTGAGTTTCACACAGAGAGGACGTGCCTCCTGTACACGTTCATGCAGCTCTGAGTCCAAACTAATGGGTCATTCAAAGCACAGGTCTGTTGTACAGTGTCAGCCATTGTTATCAGATGAAAGTGCAATTGTCAAATCCCGTGTTACATTTATCAGTAACAGAATGCACAGTCAACTCACCCCTCTATTTGCATCTATTAAAATGTGAATTGAAAAAGGCTGCCCACTGTGTTTTGACTTTTTTGACAAAGCTCTCTAACTGTATAGATGTGAGACTCTCCATTTTACCAAGCGTGAGCTTGCATTTGAGAGGCTCTATTTGCTGCCCCCCTCTCGAGTGGAGAACGCTCACTGTTCGATTGATCTCCAACTTTAAAGACAGACTCGACCAACACGTGTCATAGCAACAGAGGGGCTGCACACTGCACAATGCACTGCCCTTGAAACAGAAGAACACTTCAGCCCTTGGAGCTGTTGTTATGCATGGAAAACAAAAGATTTTTTGTTTATTAAATCAAATGATAAAAACTACTGACGATGTTCTCATAACAAATGTTGATGCAGTCAATGCATTGTAATATATAATATCCAACAGTGTCAGAGTGGTAGCATTGTGGTCAGTACAAGTGTTAATCAGTGGTGAGTAGTGCTGGGCAGTATGACCAAAAATTTATAGCACGGTATTTTTCAAAATTATACCGGTTTCACGGTATATGATGGTATTTTTTTTCCATGCATGACCGGGTGTTAACCATATTTTCTTCTGATTGAGAGAGGAAATACTGCAGTATATAACTTAGAATGCCCCATTTTACTGTCATGATGAGTGAATATTGTCAAAAAATACCACACTAAATAGTGACTAAATACAACCCCTTTTAATACATGTTAACCAGGAGTCACTCTCATTTATAATCGCTGCATCGTCTGATAAAATCAACATGCATCTACATTTAAGAGCGGCTATGCGGTTGTTAAGCGACAGGTGCTAGGAAATGCTGTTTTGTACTCATTTATTGACGAGTCTGAATGCGCTGCTTCTCTGCCGCTCACTGCACAGAACAGACGCCGAGAGAGGTGACACTTCTCCGGGAAAGTCAGACCTTGCGTTCACGGGACAGCACTGGCGAAATCTTCCAACTGAACCTTAGCTAAGGTTTATCCAAAAAAGTTGCTAGGTTTGTCAGTATGAATATTCTATGGGAAAAAGCCACTAAAAGGGTCTGAAAGTTGCTAAATCTAGTGCTAAAGTCGCGCTCGTGTGTGTTAGACGCAGGAGTTGATGGCAGGGGGCGGTGGATATTTGTGGCGGTCAATGTGGATATTGTGGATGAGTTCTTCTGTGTCATCACGTACTATTAGTTCTACAGCAGTTTCGGAACTTTCATGCTTAGGAACACATACAGCTGTTCCCTCAACACAGTGCACCAGTGAAAAGGGACCCCTTTCAAACAGTGTCGCGTTCCGAACGTTGTTTAAGCGACATACATTGTGGTATTTCCACATCGTATTTTCAAATTCATATTTAAAAATAAACACCGGTATTCGGTATGAACCGGTATACCACCCAGCACTAGTGGTGAGACTAGAACAGGTTCAAGTTTGGCCAAGATTGTGTTTCCATCACATTCTATCTCTTCATTTTATTTCTCAACTCTCACGATCAATAAAAATGTGGCAAGCGAAACAAGTACATCTAGATTGCTTGAATTTCTGCATTTAACAGACCAACAAAGGGCCCAAAACAACGGCTGAGGGGTCATAATACTAAAATGAATATATACAGCTTACATGTTTAATAACTATAAACATGTGCAGTTGTTTGCTGATGGCTTTTCATAACTTGCCAAAATGAGCAGATAAAAAAAGTACAAGTCTATCTGGAAAAGATAAAATCCACATTCTTCCTATGCATATGAAATATTCCCCAAAAAAACTGAGCACATAGGAATGAATGTGGGGATCAAAGAGCCCAGTGAGTGTAGTTACAGCTCAGGAAACATGCTAGAGGAAGTAGGTCAAAATGAGTGTGAATATCTCCAGTCCTGCATTACATCCATATTAGTATTAACAAGAAAAATTAATTTTTCTGCTGATGTAAAAATACATGGTTTTGAAATTACATGTTCAATAAGCACATATGGCTGTGGTGTTCAGGTGTCAGTATAGTGTATCTTTTAAAGGCTTAGGTGGAAACTGGAGGTGGGAAGTGTAGGTTGGTCCAGATCTTTTGACAAACAGCAGGCTTGAAATGGGGAAAGTTATACATAATTCAAGTTTCCAAATCGAAACACAAAACGAAAACACTGTGTTGGGGGTCTGCTAACAAGACACAAGACACCTAACAGAAGAAAAGCTGTAAATGTTGTTTCAAATATTTAAATAGCATACATAAGTGCAGTGAATATATAAATATAAATATGTGTATAATTGCAGTCCTAAGGGACATCTCAGGTTTCTATGAGAACCGGAGCTTCTAACAGAAGCTTCAGTCACACGATGACTTTACCAATTGGCTCTTTTATTTCGAAAATTGGGTTCACATTTAGCATTGTTTTACACATTTTCATGGGTGAAATCCAATCCTTTCAATGGGAATTTCTGTGTGTTCGGCGCTTTATACATCTCTACATGCCTGTGAAATGTTGCTGAAATGGTCTCTAACTTGGTTGTTAGTAAAGCCACCACATTGTGCATTGCAGTTTCTCAAATCATTCTTTTGAATGAGCCTTTTTTTAATTTTCAATGAATCAACTATAATCCAATTCATAAAACTGTCTGAATGATTTGTTCAGTTGAACTCACTGAATCAGTGATCATGTTGCAGCAGTTAAGATGTGAATAAGGATTTAAATTACAGTCTGTTTATCAAACACATCAAATGACTTTAATAGACTTGGACAATAGCTCCTGAATTGTATGGACAACACTTGTATGATCATGTTATATTTTTGTGGCACTATTTGAAGCTTCAAAGTCCCCATTAAATGTACCCATTAATTGTAATTACATGGAAAAATGTATAAGGTAATTCTTCAAACGTTGCTGTGTGTTCCACAGAAGAAAGCCACATGGGTTTCAAATGACACAAGGGTGAGTCCATGATGATGCTAATAAATACATGGTTTTGAAATTACATGTTCAATAAGCACATATGGCTGTGGTGTTCAGGTGTCAGTATACTTTCATTTGTTTAGTGTATCTTTTAAAGGCTTAGGTGGAAACTGGAGGTGGGAAGTGTAGGTTGGTCCAGATCTTTTGACAAACAGCAGGCTTGAAATGGGGAAAGTTATACATAATTCAAGTTTCCAAATCGAAACACAAAACGAAAACACTGTGTTGGGGGTCTGCTAACAAGACACAAGACACCTAACAGAAGAAAAGCTGTAAATGTTGTTTCAAATATTTAAATAGCATACATAAGTGCAGTGAATATATAAATATAAATATGTGTATAATTGCAGTCCTAAGGGACATCTCAGGTTTCTATGAGAACCGGAGCTTCTAACAGAAGCTTCAGTCACACGATGACTTTACCAATTGGCTCTTTTATTTCGAAAATTGGGTTCACATTTAGCATTGTTTTACACATTTTCATGGGTGAAATCCAATCCTTTCAATGGGAATCCATGCAAACGGGAATTTCGCCTGAGGGCAAATAATTTCTCCACACAGCTTCCACAACAGGTTCAAGTTGGTTACACAGATTCGCCCTGTTGACCATCAGAAAGCTGCTTGTTTTGAATGTAACTTCTGTGTGTTCGGCGCTTTATACATCTCTACATGCCTGTGAAATGTTGCTGAAATGGTCTCTAACTTGGTTGTTAGTAAAGCCACCACATTGTGCATTGCAGTTTCTCAAATCATTCTTTTGAATGAGCCTTTTTTAATTTTCAATGAATCAACTATAATCCAATTCATAAAACTGTCTGAATGATTTGTTCAGTTGAACTCACTGAATCAGTGATCATGTTGCAGCAGTTAAGATGTGAATAATGATTTAAATTACAGTCTGTTTATCAAACACATCAAATGACTTTAATAGACTTGGACTATAGCTCCTGAATTGTATGGACAACACTTGTATGATCATGTTATACTTTTGTGGCACTATTTGAAGTTTCAAAGTCCCCATTAAATGTACCCATTAATTGTAATTACATGGAAAAATTTATAAGGTAATTCTTCAAACGTTGCTGTGTGTTCCACAGAAGAAAGCCACATGGGTTTCAAATGACACAAGGGTGAGTCCATGATGATACTAATGATGAGGACTATTCCTTTAACTAGATTGTTCATTTTATATAATTTCCAAAACAATAATCCTACACTGGTCAATAAACTATTAAAATGTCATTTTCATTGCTCCAAAACAAACACATACTGATA